GGGCTGCGCACTGGCCCACGTGCGGCCACCGGGCAGCGCGCCGGGTCCCCCCTTCACACACACAAGTCCTCTCGGGCCCCGGGCCGGGCTCCTCGCCGCCCGCAGCCGCTGCGCTCCCCGATCCGCGCCTTCGGGCGCTGCATTCTGCGCTCCGGGTGCCCAGCGGTGGCCGCCGCTTCTGCCCCACCCGAGACAAAGGAGCAACGGGTCGCTCGCTCCGCGCGTCCCGCGCCTGGGCCGCCCGCGCCACCGACGCTTTGTTCGCCCTGCGGGTCTGCGCTCCTCTCCCGGAGATCGGAGACTCCGCGGCGCAGCGGCTGCCGGAGATCTGGGGGCGCAGGGGGCGCGGCCAAGGCCGGGCGGGGCCGGGGGCGGAGCTGGCACCCACGCCCGGCACCTCCCCCGTTACCCAAGCACCGCCCCTACCCCGACCCTCCCACTTCCTGCCCGGGGAAAGTTGAGGAAGGCGGGGCTGCGCGGGAGCTCCCGCCCTCTGACTGTCCCAAGGTGCACGTGGACTTTAGAAAGCCCCGGACCGAGGCCAGCGGTCTGTGCTGCGGAGGGATGGGCCGCTGCGTCCCGTAGAGGCTGAGAAGTGGACCTTGTAACGCGCGGTGCCCTCATGTGGGCCCTGGAAAAAGACCCGGGACAACGTGCCGAGCCGGATACACCCTCACGCCCCTGTGGGCCATCAAACCTCCGTGGCGCAACTGAGGCTTAGTGGGACCAGGTCTTCCCAGAGCCCCTTTCTCGCCCTCTGTCTTGGCCAGGATGTCCCCAAAGCAGAAGAGGAAAAGATCTCAACCAAGGGTCGCAGCCACCGGGGTGTGACGGAGAAGGGAGGCACAGTGTTCTGTCCTGCCCACGTGGTGACTGTGCGGGGTTTCCAAGATTTATTTTCTTTCCTTTTTTGTTCGACTTTTTTTTTTTTTTTTTAATCTTTTTGAGACAGGGTCTCCCTGTAGCCCCAGCTGACCTGGAACTCACTATGTAGACCAGGCTGGCCTTGAACTCACAGAGATCCTCCTGCCTCTGCCTCCCCAGTGCTGGGACTAAAGGCGTGCGCCACCACGTCCTGGGTTTCCAAGACGTAAATAACCGATTCTGTGATTGAAATTACCTTGCTTTGGACTTATGTGTCAGGAGCCCTGGGTTCTCAGTTCAGTGTGCTGGGAAGGCACAAGGCCAAGCTCTCTCTCAGACTGGTGTCCTGACAGGGGTATGGGGATTACCAGCCTCCAAGAACCGCCCCACTTTGTCCTTTGTGGGCTGGGTGGCATTGTACAGCCACCCCCAAGGCGGCCCCTGCCTCTTGCTCAGCTTACCTGGCCCAGGACAAGATGACGTCCTTCCCCCCACCCACTCACTGCACCCAGAGGTTCCCTACTGGAGAGGCCTCTGCAGAGTCGACTGCCCCTTCCCCACCTAATGAGAAAGCAGAGGCCTCAGTCTCAGAGGTCAAGGGAGGAACCAGGCTGAGGGATGGTTAGCCTGCTGACCCAGCCTAAGCAGTACCCCATGGAACAGCTGATCACCTGCTCTCACCGCTGCACGAAGGGGATTGAGCCATCCAAGGCACATCGAGGTTAGAGGGCCACAGGAAGACCCTGGCAATTACCCTGAGAGTCACAAGCCTAGTTCATGCAATCCCCTGCGCCACAAAAAGAGAAAGAAATTGCAAAGTTGGCGGCAGGGTGCCCTGATAATGGTCCCCCATTCATGCCTCTGTCTGTCTGTCCATCCCCAGGGAGCTCCCTCAGCAGGAAGTGGGTCTCTGCCCTCCCTTTCCTCAACCTTCCTTCCTGGGCTGGGAACGCACCAAGACCAGACCAGGTCAGGGACAGAGACCACGCTGCCAAGTGTTCAGGCGTTCATCTGCTGCCCCCTGGTGGCACTGAGGGCAATGGCGGCCGCTGACCGCCCAGTTGCTCCAGTTAAGGGCTTCAGAGAGGCGGCACTGCAGAGCTGGGAAGTCAGTCAAGTCAGGAGACCCAGGCCTGCAACAGTCATGGGCCTCTGCGATCCCGTTTCTGATCTGGACCATGGGGATTTTCACCTGGGCTGTGTACCTGGTGGGGTCCTTGGGAGGCTCTGCAGGGAGATGGAAGGGAAACTGAGTGGAACGGATTCTGAATTGTGTGGGAGTTGAGCAAGTAGGGCTGCATGGGCCCAAACAGATGTGGGGAGCGCTAATAAAATGCATACTATTTCTCAAAATCCTACCCCACCCATTCTCTCAGACCCAGCACTGTTTGCCAGGACTGCTCCCTACACGTGTGCAGAAGTCAAGAGTCCCTCCGCACCTTAGCGATGGGCTCCAGGGAAAACCCCTTATGCAGACTGTGAGTAAAGAGCAGGTGAGTTGGCCAGATGAAACCCAAGGCCGCAGGTCCCAGCACCAGCACATAGCCAGGTGTTGGGGGACCCTGGTGCTAAGGTTGCAGTCCACCGTGTCCAGATAGCTCTAAGGAGCTCGGAGGTAAGGAGGACTCCCATTCTCAGTGGGGGGGGGGGGGGCTCCCGTTCTCTGCCTGCCTTATCTGGAAAGTGCCTCCAAGCCGGGATGCCTGGCCTTATTCAGAACATGACCTTTGGCATAGTTACCTGCAATAAAACTGCCCCCAGGTTTTTTCTATATGATAATTAGGCATTGTCCTATAGCCAGATGATAGGATCCCCCTACCACATGTAAATAAAGCATACTATGAACACCTATCAGCTGAAGCTTTGGCTGCCGCCTCCACACTATATTTTCCCCGACCCCCATGTAGAAACGGAGCTGTATCACTGAATCTGACTCCCCGGAAGGTCTTTTCCATCCATGCTCACTGGCCATCCCGACCCCATTCATCGCTTCTGCTCCCTTTGTCTTCATGGGTCAGTGGCCAACGGCCCACGAGGGGAGGGAGAGACCCACAGCCAGGATGTATAAAGACTGACCGCACAAGAGGCTGCAGGAAGGGTGCACCCGGGAAGGAGCTGCAGAGCTGCCGGAGTTGACCATCCCCGAGGATCAAGCTTGTTCAGAAGAGGAACTGACAGGAAGGCCCAGGTATAGGGAGCTGAGGTCTGGAGCGGCACAGCGTGACCCAGTGTCCATTCTAAGCCCACTGGGGAACTGAACATCTTTGTGTTCCCAGTTATCAGCCAGGCAACTGCAGCTCCATCCTTGATGGGTGCCAACCTTACCCTCTCCACTTCTAATCTTCCAGCGGGTTCAATGCTCACATTCAGATGCTGAACCTCCCAACCCTGCCACCCTTGGGATCCAGGTTCCTCCCCCTTGAGTTCAACAGCCAGCTACTTTCCCTCAGTCTGCTCTTCACGGCCTGCAAGGACCAGGCCAGACCTAGGGGAGACCCCGTCAGTCTCAGCCTCTGTGGTACCCAGCTCCCTGCGGCTAGAATCCTTAGTGCTGGGGATCAGTAGCAGAGCACCTGTTCAACGTGCATGAAGCCCAAGGCTCCATCTCCAGTCACGTAAAGAAAAAAATTTTCAAAGGAGGGCAGACTGTCCCCAAGTAAGCCCCCTGTGGTGCAGCCTCCTGTCTTAACAGCATCCTCCGTGTCCCCAGCTCAGGGTCTTTGTGCTCGAGATTCCTCTCCCTAAACTCTTCCCCTAGAGCCAGTGGTCCACCTGGCAGGGGCACGATTTGAATTTGGATCTCAACACAGAGTCTGTCTTCTGCGGTTCTCCAACTGCACAGTTTGCTTTTGCTCTAGGCAACAGCACAGGGGAAATCATGGCGCTCGGCATGGGTCTGCCCTCTTGGGCTTCTGTAGACAGTTGACTGCCCTCATCAAGTTAAAGACCTCCATTGCTGGGCAGCTCAGTGACAGACCAGTTTCTGATAACAACGCAAGGGCCTCTCGTGTGCTGTGCTGCTGGTGATGCCTACCACAGTGGACGCACATACCCAAATATCCATGACCCTGAAGACCTCCACAGCAGACCAGGCGTGCTATCAGCCCACACTGCCCCAAACACACAGACTTACTCCACCATGTCTCCATCCAAAGTAGCACAGCCAATGGGGCTCTCAGTCCGTAATCAGGGTTCCAGGGACCACTGAGGCTTCTTATTCAAAGGCGTACCGAGGCTGGCCCTCCATTCATCTACCACCCAACCCTCCATCCATCCACTTTCCCACCAGCCCTCAACTTCTTACCATAGCCCTCAGCTTATCCACGCAGCCTCCTTCTACCCAGACTCATCTACTCAACTGTTCATTCCTCCACCCAGCCCTCCCTCCACCCAGCCCTCCCTCCATCTACATAGCCTCCACCTGTATCCGTATCTACCCACCCATCCCACCCACATCCCTCTACTTAGACAATATTGACTGAACGCTGGGAAAGGGAAGTGAATGTTTTGACCGGGTGAGGGAATTACTCTCACATCCAACCCACATGAACACACACATTTTGCAAATTCCATTTGGAGCTCCATCAGGCAAATTCAGCTGTCACAATTTCCCAGGAAATTATAGGTGTAGGAAAAAACCATCTGGCCCGCCATCGAGATACAGCACGCCTCACTGGATGGTGGGTGTGGGCCTTCTATATTTCCTTTGAAAAGGCAAAATGTAGACTTTTACTGCTAGTTGCTTCAAGTTTCAAAATTAAGACAAATGCCACAATCTAGAGGCTGCTCCCTACACCGTAGTCTCTGAAACTTTGTAGTGACATGGCCACAGCTTGGGCACCTGCCAGTGACTCTAGGATGTGAGAGGCCTGTTTTGAGGCCCCAGTGGCTTTCCAGGGGACCCTGAGAGGCCCAGGATGCAGCTAATTTGTCCATATGAGGCTGAGGAGCAGAGCTGGGGTGAGCTTGCTTTCCACAGGAGCCACAAGCTGCCTGGGTGCTGGAGAAAGGCGGGGGGTCAGTCAGACTGGGGGAGAGCCAAGCCCTATTTATCCGCTTGTGAATAATGAACTCAGGGATGCCGGACCCCCCACAGGTACTGA